CATTTTCTAAATAGCTATCAGATCTGTTTCCTTTCTGGTCTTGGTTCTAAAAATATCATGAGAACCAATAAATCTGATGGTCTTTTTCCCTCTCATGCCGAACATTGGAAAAATATCTTTGGTTGTTGTATATCTAGAAGTTGTGAAGTAATTTCTTCAATCTTGAACAGTGTACCATTTACTTGCGGTAACCCATGGGGTACTCAAATGCTTATTTAATTGCTTTTACTGAATTAATAATAGTTTCAATAGCCACCTGCTTCGGTGTCCAGCCCTAAAGACAACGACGGAAACCTAGAGATACTAGGAAGCCAGAAGACAGCTAATGAACCCACCCATGGGGAAAGCTAAAGTCAACTAAGGGGTTGATGATAAATATCATAAAGCCTGCCATTTGAAAAAATAATAGTTTCAATTGTGTCTTGAAGAGCCGAAGCCGTTACAAGAATGGATATCACAACAAAAGTAAACGGTTTATAAAAGCCAAGATCACAGTTAAAATTACATGCTAACTCCTTAAGGCAAGTGGAAATCTTATGCATTCACCAATAAGAATTAAAAAAATACACAACTCCCTTCTTTTACAAAATATGGACTTTATAACAAAAAAAATAGAACATTTTCAATTTCCAGGAACTTCGCCTCCTCTACCTCCTCCTCCTCCTTCCTCTTCCCGAGCACTTTTGGCGTCTTCTAAATCCTCGCCTTGACAAGAAAGTGAACTCTCGACAATATCCAATGATGCAACCAGCGTTTTGAGTGGAGAACTTGTTGGCGACGACTCATCTCGATCCTCGGCGTAGGTCCTTATTTCCGCAATCACAAGAATACTCTGCTGAGATAAGGCACTTAGCTTCGGGTTTCGAGCCTCCGATTCGTGTAAGTCACACCGCAGACGCGTAACAAGACGTTGACCAAGTACAGCTAGGGTCTGACATAACCGCGCAATTACGATGTGGGAATTCGGAGAATTGAGTGTTGAGGCATTAACCAGCCGTAGGAGGGAGAAAGTGAAATCAAAGAGATCCAGAGTTCCACGGTATGCTAAAATAAATCATAGAAGCCATGTTTACAATAAAAGACCGAATGAAACAGGGAATCTGGCAAAATAAAAGCCTTAAAAGTCTTGAAGACAATGGCAACCACCTAGGTTTCAGATCAGACGATTTAAACTTGGACTGATCAATCGGAGATAGTTTAAAGAGTGATGATCAGAACTCAGTAGTACACCAGTAGATGAGTTGTGAGAAGTATATAAAATAAAAGAAATTTCAGTCAGGACAGAACGAGAAACGTCCCTTTCGTTAATCATGTCTTACAAATTGACTGCAAGAATTACTTTGGTGATGACCTCAAAATCCCGGACACATTTACTATTTAGTCTGTTTAACGGTCGTTACGGCCATGTTCTGGCGAATAATGAAAGGTCACTTGAGAGTATGATTAGACTAGAAGATAGTGAACGGTCTAGCATTCTGTCCAAGCCACAGCCACTAAATGTACATAAAGTGGGAATATACAATAGCTATAAGATAACCCAAGTTTGCATTCCAAGAATCGATAAGCAGTGTAAAACCTCATTTGTCGATTTGTTTGAATTAATCAAAAACTATATACATTTAACCAAACACTACGACTTGAAATAAATGAGGCGCTAGCGACGAAATATAACTATGCCAACGATAATGTCGATAATCACTTCGATAAGCGCACTCGATAGTCGTTTAAAATTTGATGATTTACCTTAGAACAAGGTAAGGCAGTGAAATACAAAATTAAACGACTGCCAAGTGTAAGTTTTAAATGGGGGTGTGCGATAGACTTATCTCCACGTGGTGCACTCTGGGCAACGTATACTCATGCGGCAAAAAAGTCTATCAATGGGCAGTTGACTTCTCACTTCAAACTACCATCACCTCACTCTATGCCATATTCGACTATTTCCACAGTACTCACCTCACCTTTGTTCTACCTTTGTGTTTGTCTCTTACATCTTTGAAACACTCTTCTGTTCTCCCCCCTCGTTTTTTTCACTTTGATATTCCTCCTCCCCTCTGTGAAGCCTGAAGTCAACTAAAGGGCTAATGATAACCAACAAGACGCCTGCCATTTGATATAAATAAATAAATAAGTTTTAAATGTATCCAAGCACCATCCAATCAAGTGAGTGGCGTGGCTATTTTCATTAACCTACGTAGTCACGTCAACATAACTTAATGAGCACTATAATAAGTACTGCTATCAAATCAACTCTATAATGCTCATTTTGCATATATTTTGGTAATAGAAAACAAACCGCCACCTCAAACACTTTTCTCAACCAAGACCAAAAAGATAAGGGAACTCACGTCCAAGATACACGCTTTGGGATGTTGTTGGGACTGTAGAACTATTAGTAGATCGAAACCGGAATGGCAGAGCGATCAAGCCTCGCGAAACCAATTGATCCACAAAGCCCATAGCTCGAGACCAACACTCTGTCGAATCCACCTGATCCAAGAGTGAAATTCGATGGAGGAACTGGAAGTGAAAAGTTTGCATCATTTGCTACTATTTAAAATAGCACGACTTTCCGGACAACGGGCAATTTGCATAGAGGTAAATTAATAAAAGGTCATCAAAACATCTGACGGTAGAAAAAAAGTCAAGGCCAAACGGGAAACCCAAAAGTGGATAAACAAACAAAAATAAAAAACCACCCTCCTCTCGGGTGTAACCCTACCGTGTGAAGGGCAAGAATGAGAGTGGGCGCAGTGAGAGCAGTCCAAACCGCACAAACTTCCGGACTCTGGGTGGCCACCGTGAGGATGTGATTGACAACGAGGCTCCAGACACTATCGCAGAGGGACACCAATTGAAGAACCTCCTCGAAGTCGCTAGCAGAGATAGGTGCAGTGAAGGCGAGCGGTGATGTGGAGGTCTGAGACTCGAAGCGGAATTTGTAAATATTCTTGGGGCTGAAGTAGAGAAGAACATGGGTAGCTTCAATATCACTTTAATACTTGCTCCCTCAATACTAATAGCCTAGCAATGCGATGAACAGGATCGATCAGTTTACTTTAGAGAGATAAAAGTAGAATTCACCGCATGTTTCAAGTTGTGAATGCTGTCTATGGTCAGAAAAATGTTATTTTAAGGGTATCTTATTTGGTTTCACCATGAATGTCGATGGGAGTAAACTAAGGAGATTTAAGTAATGAAAAGTGAAGATTTGTCGATAGCTCTATTATCAACACACTAATGATTTGCAAGTTGATTATCAACACACAAACCGTCTCATTACCTACCAATTTCATGATATTGTTATTTTAATGAAAAGGTAATGTGGAATATCAAAAGGTCACAACTAAACATCTCATAAACAATAACAAGCCCCCCACATGCAAACAAACCCACGGATCAGTTGCTCGGGGAAAGATAATGCCAACTCATGAAACCGATTGCGCAAATGCTACGATCTAATGCCAATGCTATTGTGTTAAAATGTACATCTAATTGGGTCCTAAGCACCGGGGTGATGTGGCTGGTAATTGGTAAAGGGGAAGAAATTCAATCAGAAAATGCGCCTAGCCAAAGTGTGTCCCTTTATTTCATAGCCTATGGAAGAGTGTGCTCCAAACCCTTTGGAGGGGAGTAAATCCTAGAACTCATATCGGATAGATGGCAAATCAACTTTTGCTATAACCTTTCTTGATTAGTATTGACCAGTAAGTTCACCCTATTTGCCGGACGATGACGCGCCAATGATCTCAATAATCACATTTCTCATAAATATTTATTTATATTAAATGGCAGACGTTTTGATGGCTATCTCATTAGCCCTTTAGTTGACTCCAGGCTTCACAGAGGGGATAGAACATCGAGGTGAAAAAAAGTCGAGAAGGGGGAGGGGGACAGAAGAGTGTTTCAAAGACGAAGATAGAAAAGAGGTGAGGTGAGTACTGTGGAAGGGGTCGAATATGACATACAGTGGGGTGATGGTAGCTTGAAGTCAGAAGTCAACTGCCAGTTCATAGACTTTTTTGCCGTATGAGTATACGTTGCCCGGGATGCACCACGTGGGAGTAAGTCTATCGCACACCCCTTTCGCATAAATATAGAACCAGTTCTAATGAATTAAAGAGTTTTCCAACTGATCCGAACACCAAGGCCGAGCCCTACTTTGCCAATAATTCATTTCCCTCGTAGTTATAAAAAAGACCAAGTCCAGTACTTGGGATGATTGATCGATCTAACAGACTCTAAACACTATCGATGACAGAGCAACGAAACCGCAAATCTTGAAATTCGACAATGATTAATCACATATGTGTGCCATTTAGACATTGAAATATAGTAGACCATACAAGGGAGAGAGAGGGAGGGGGAGAGAGAGAGGGGGAGAGAGGGAGGGGGAGAGAGGGAGGGGGAGAGAGGGAGGGGGAGAGAGGGAGGGGGAGAGAGGGAGGGGGAGAGAGAGAGATACACCACACTTTTGAGGGATCTACGATGGGATCGAAAAGAGTGGAAACAAAATCTTGGGGAGCGAGAAAAAAGAGGAAACAGAAATCGGCAAGCGCCAGATGATAGCCCGTTGGCAGGCACAGCTGTAAGCTTCAAATTTTCAAAGGGAAGGCTCATAGAGGCAAAAAAGTGTCAACAGAAATCCAAAAATGAGAACTTTACGGTGGGGAAGGAGGTTCGCGAGTGGGAGAAAAAGGGGGTATGCATTTGTGGGATTAGCGACAACTGACCGCCTTGGAAAACATATTTTAAAGTTAGACATCCATACAAATTGTGAATAAATAGACTAAGGATACACACCTCCAACTGTCAACGGCTTTACTAAAAGATCCGTTGAAGAGGCATTAAGGATATGGCTCAAATAGACGAGAAATGGAGTGTGTTTAAAATATAACATTTATTTATTCATTTCAAATGGCTGGCACCTTTAGCTGACTTCGGGCTTCACAGAAGGGAGGAGGAACATCAAAGTGAGAAGAGATCGAGAGGTGGGGAAAACAGAAGAGTGATTCACAGATGTAAGAGTCAGGCAGAAAAAGGGTAAGATGAGTACTGTGGAAGGGGTCGAATATGACAAGGTAAGGTGAGTACTGTGTAAGGGGTCGAATATGACAAGTTTGGGGGTCGTGGTAGTTTGAAGTCAGAAGTCAACTGCAGGTTAATAGACTTTTTTGCCATATGAGTATACGTTGCCCATAGTGCATGAGGTGGTGGTAGTTTGAAGTGAGAAGTCAACTGCCTTAGTCGAATATGACATACAGTGGGGTCAGAGTCAACTGAAGGTAGAAAAAAGGCGAGGTGAGTACTGTGGAAGTGGTGAAATATGACATACAGTGGGGTGATGGTAGTTTGAAGTCAGAGGTATATGACATACAGTGGGGTCATGGTAGTTTGAAGTCAGAACCCAACTGCCAGGTAATAGACTTTTGTTGCCGTATGAGTATACTTTGCCCAGGCTGCACCACGTGGAGAGGTAAGTCTATCGCACACCCTTAAGAGCGAGGAGGCTTAAAATTTTCAAAAATAGCAATCGAATTCTAATAACGCACAGTATTGAATACAAACCCCCTGTTAAAAGATGTGCAAAAATGAAAAACTCCCCCCCCCCCCCCT